ACTATAAATATTCTGTCTATATGTAATCCTCTTCATGTGAGCTCTCCCTCATTATACATGGAACACAGCTCGCACAAAGAAATGATCATTACCTTTATATTTTGCCCTAATGATACCCTTGTGATAATACAGTAAAGCCTCCGATAACAACGGTTCGACTGACAACTTTCATATTTAAGACCCAACTCAACTTACGTCCTTATTTCATTCGTATTTACGATCAAAATATAATAAAAAATTAAATAAAATTAAATTTTCATATAAATAATAACTAAATCCCAATATATATTATATATAAAAAAAATTACTCTATAAAAAATGAAGAGAGCCTTGCACAAAGAAGCTGCCCGGCTAATGAGTGGTAAACAACAGTCGGAGCTTGGCGGGCCTTTTGTTTTCACACATCTGGAACAGGAACTGGAGAAAAACTTTCTCAGGTTTCATACAGCATTTTTGCATCCCTATTCAACATGAGCAAGAGAGCAAGTGATGGTAGTGTTGTTTCAAAAGCTAATAGAAAGTGTATAAGCTTAGCCGAGAAACTAGATGTGTTAAAACGATATGAAAAAGGTGACAGGTCTGTGGATATTATATGGAGCAAGCAATGATACATATTTTCTGAAGTAGATCCATTAACAGAACAAAGCATTAAAATTTAAATAAATGCAAATGACCTCTACATAAAGATGTATAATGAGAAAAGAAAGCAGCTGTGCAAGGTTCTTTTGACAGCTTTATTATTCAAAGGCCTAAACCATCAACTTCAGCTACACCATCAAATTCAGCATCATAAGCAGCTTCATCAACAACTTCAGGTACAGCAACAGTTTCAGCAACAGCTTTATGGAAAGCTACAGCTTCAGCCAGAGTTGAACCTAATGACTTTATCATCTGAGTAAAAACTCGCACAATATTCAGTGGCTGTTCTTATGTTTTAGACTTTAACACCATTGGTGAGTATAATTTTGTTTTACTTTCGTAAATATTATCTAAAACAGATATGAACAGTAAATAAGTGTTGCTTTCATATTCACATGCAGAGAATGACGATATGTTTTCACATGTACGCACTTACTGTACATACGTTGGCGTTCCCAATCGTTTTGCTTTATTTCTTTACCATTAGTGGTTAGCTACTTGTAGTGTTCCATTTCTTAAGATTACTAAAAACATACATACAGGTATTCATTTTTTTTAATTAAGTTCACTACAGCTACAACCAGGGTTTTATTTTCTTCAGTTTCTTACGTAGAGCCATCGTCACTCACGAAAACAATGCCATCTTGTCTCCTCGTGTGTGTTTTAATATTCTACATGTTATTAATGAATTGCATTGTTCATTTCAGATATATAAACATTAATTCAATCAAATACATATTCATTAATAAACAATAATGAATCCTTTGTACATATTCGTAAGATAAATGACTGTGTTCCACTATCAGTATCACATTTTCTTTCATATCACTGGTTACTTCTACTGTACATAAAATAAAATAAATAACATACGGTACATATTTTTTACATTAATTATACTACAACAACAACCAGGGACTTATTTTCTTCAGTTTCAGGTGGATAACTGACATTATGGGTGTAAACACTGACAACAATGCCGTCTCTTATCCTCTTGTGTTTTAATATTCTAAGCATTATTAATGAGTTGTACTGTATTGTTCATTTCGCATATACGTATAAAGATTAATTCAATCAATACATACAGTATTACCCGCTTTACACAGTTACACAGTTTCACTTTACTTTCCGCGATTTTGATTTCTCACACCTTGCCAGAACCGGACTTTCACTTTCTACTCATATACGCGGTGAAGTATATATTTTTTTTTATTTAGCTCATAAAATTCATACAAATTACCCGGCCAGAATATAATTTACATTGCTGGAATTCTTACAATATGATGATCATTTTGAATATAAACATCATGGATTTTGCATTAGACATACAAATTTTAGATCTAATGTAATAATTTGGTTTACACAAAGCAAATATTTTATCTTTTGTGCAAAAGATATGAAGTTTACATTCAAAATATTCCCTGACCTGCAAGGAATCCAGAAATGTCAATTATATTATCCTAACTTTAGTCTGAGGTATTATTTATTACTAAAAGTTAAAAATCTAGTTTTTTCACCCAAGCATTTCTCTGGTAGGGAGGGAAGGTGGGAGGTGGGGGGGGAGGGTTGGGACCGACCGACCCAGCTGGCGTGAGTGTGAGGAGGGGGGGGAGGCAAGGTGAGGTATTTTGATTGACAGATAGTGTCGTGAAGAATATTTTTTTTTTTATTACCTGAAGATATTTGTTTTAGCTCATAAAATTCATATAAATTACTCGGCCAGAATATAATTTGCATTGCTGGAATTCTTACAATATGATGATCATTTTGAATATAAACATCATGGATTTTGCATTAGACATACAAATTTTAGATCTTATGTAATAATTTGGTTTACACAAAGCAAATATTTTATCTTTTGTGCAAAATATATTAATTTTACATTCAAAATGTTCCCTGACCTGCAAGGAATCCAGAAATGCCAATTATATTATCCTAACTTTAGTCTGAGGTATTATTTATTACTAAACGTTAAAAATCTAGTGGTTTCACCCAAACATTTCTCAGAGAGGTAGGGGCCAGTGAGCTGGGAAGAGGGGGGGGGGGGATTTGAGTCCATTATTTGAATGGACATTAACCTGGCGACTGTATTTCTCTTAAATATTAATTGTGTGAGCATACCATAATAAATTTAGATGTTATTTTTACTACAACATAGGTATTGTGTCGGAAAAAGTGGAGTTTGGGGGTCGGGCCAGTCTCTATTGGTATTAATCCCATATGTTCTGTTGTTCACTTTACGGGGTTTTCACTTTCCGCGGTACCCTGTGGGTTCAATTGACCGCGTAAATCGCGTAAATCGGGTACTACTGTATTCAGTAATAAACAATAATGAATCATTTGTACACATTCTTCAGATAACTGACGCTGTTTCCTTAAATGTGCACGTATATGTTGGCGTTCCCAATCCATCTAACTTTTTTTTCTTTGCCATTAATGGTCAGCTACTTCTACTGTTCCATTTATTTACATTAAATATCGTTACAGTAGAATGTCAATACAACACGAGATATGTTCCAAGAGAGGTCGCTTTAAACCAGATTCGCACTAAATCAAAGTGTTGTTTCAATGGAATAATTTAGTTTGGTACTTGAGAGAAACACAAAATACTTAAAAACTGAGTCTACCCAAGATGCACCTCAGCCCATATCCTAGAATAAACAAAACATTGTTTTTTGTAGTATTATGTTAAAACAAACACTCATAAATCAACACAGCTAAAATTAAGGGGTGTGAAATGGTCTGTTTACTAGCGATCAGCTGATGTGAAGATTAGGGAGGGGAGGGGGGGGTTGAGGTTATATGTTTGACAGTAGTGCTTATTTATTTTTCTGACCTTAAGAGTGACTTAAGTTTTTCTTTTATAAAAAGTCACTGAACTGACATATTCAAATTAATTTTATTACAAAGGGTTAAAAAAACTTATCTTCTATGCAAAATATATGACATTTATTTTCATATTATTCACTGTCTTGCAAGGATTTTAGCAATGTAAATTATATTCTCCTAACTTTAGTCTGTGATATTATATAAGATAAAAACTTATAGCCTATAACCACCCAACCCTTTAGATTGAGTTTTTGTTTTTGTTTATAAAATGTCATAGAAAAGACCAGAGGGAATATAATTTACATTGCTGGAATTCTTATAAGATAATGATTAAATTTCATAAAATCAAGCTATAGTTTGCACTAGACAAAAATTTTAGTAATCATTTATTACATTATTTTGAGTACATATACATTACAGCTTTGCCCTTAGGACAGTGTAGCGTGCCCAGAGAAACATTAGGTGCGAATTTTAAAATATGAAGCACCAGATTGACTCGCGCAAAATAGGAAAGATTCGCTTTAAATTAAAACATTGTCCTTGATTGTGGGTGTCGCTTTAAATCAATACTCTTAAATTGAATCGCTTTAAATCGATGTTCTACTGTACTTAAAACACATATATTATTTTTTTTACATTAATCTTACTACAGCTCCAACCAGGGTCTTATTTTCTTCATTTTCTTATGTAGAACCATCCTCCCAGACTCCCGGCTGTAAACATTAACGAAAACAATGGCGTCCCATCTCCTCTTGTGAGACCATTTTATTATTCATTTATATTATATAAGGTGCATTCAAAACAATTATTTAAAGAATATAGTTTGCATTTTTCATTAATTTTATTGTTTTGGGGGAAAAGAGGGTAAAAAGCCACACAAACGACATGAAAAGGTCACACTTGCAACGCATCTCATTATTATTGCTTTATTTTAATGGTAATTAATGATTCACCTTACACTGCAATATTGGAGGACACATTACCGTCATTATCCGTGGCTTTACTGTAGTACATTTGAGTACTGTACAGTTTTTCAAATCGTATTTTTGGGTCAATTTAGGGGATTTTTAGGAGTTTCTGACTTTATACAGTTTTTGGCTTTATGTGAGGTCCCAGGAACATAACCCCACGTAAGTAGTGAGTCTACTGTAAATAAATTTATCGCTATACCTCATACAGTATATTGGAAAATGTCGATAATTTTGGGAGTCATGATAAATTTTAAATATTTCCTGCCCGATTTCCCTCACGAAATAAAAAAAATTATCTCAATATATAGGAAAATGACAATAATTTGGTAACCGCAATATAAAAAAAATCGATGTACTCGTACACATATAAAGTGGCTATATATCCCGACCCCACTGAAGAGCCATACAAGATGAGAAGGCTACAGCATAAGCTCTTCTGTACTTTAAACAGATGAACTAAACACTGTAAACTGACACTTTCAACCCATTTTCTAAGAAAATACCCTGTACAGTGTACCAAAATTTGGCTACAGTACAGGATGCATGAAACTGGTTTGAGCTCACCTTTAGTACTTCTTTATAAGCTGTTATGGCAGGTCTTTCCATTCCTGCCTGTTGGTAAAGACGTCCCAATCCCATGTTAACCTTTGACGTGCGGTGTCGCTGTGGAATGGACTCTAAAAGTGTGAGAGCTTGACTGAATTGTCGAACAGCAATGTTACACTCAGCCATTGCATACTTAACATCTGTAATTAAATAAAGGTAAATAATAATACTGGGAACTGGCTTGTAATAAAATATTTAACCAATTTAACCACTCTTTTCTTAAGCAAATACAATAAACAAAATACACATGCCCAAAAGTAGTTCAACCAACAACATTAAAGCAGGCAAGACCCTTACTGTATCAATAAGGGAAGAGGCTAAAACATTCCTCTTGGAACCAAGATTTATCAGCCCAGGTCATATTATCATTAAAATGCAGGATTGATGCATGAAACTCTGATAGATAGATCACCACCAATTTGGGCACACCCTCTCAATGCTTAGGTTGTAAATTATGTTTAGTGGTAGGATACCATTATCCATTTGGATAATTTTTTGCTGCAAGGTAGACACTATACAGAATTTTCATCTACCCTGTAATTGAATCTGGATTTCAAATTCATAAGGTGTCCTAGATTTCACTATGGACTCAGGTTGGAGTCAACAGTTTTAAGGGTTCACTTCCATATCAAAAGCCCAGCTCAATCATAAGGTACATCATGACTCAAAATATTCTCAGTTCTCTGTCAATTTTGGGCCTTGTTTTTAAGGAGGAGGAAATCTAGGTATTATGACTGAGAGCCTTAATACATAATGTTTGCTTCAATCTTGGTTCATAACTAGAGGTCTACAATAGGAGCCAGCAGAACCTACATCTTCTTGATAATGGGAGAAGATTATAATTATGTCAAGCTAAGTTTCTAAAAATATCCCAACAGAGAAACCACATCCCTTAACAAAAGAAGTACAATATAAATATCTATCTATCTATCTATCTATCTATCTATATATATATATATATATATATATATATATATATATATATATATATATATATATATATATATATATATATATATCTATCTATCTATCTATCTATATATATATATATATATATATATATATATATATATATATATATACACACACACACACACTCGTGTATAGTTCGAGTTTTTAAGACCAAATTTTTAGGCAAAAAATTGGGGGTCGTCCTATACATGCGTAATAGTTTTGTTAGGTTGAACCCGTGCATGATGGGAAGGGCGAGGAGCAACTTTTAGCTTCAGACATGAAAAATATTTACCATTTACTGCCAGTAAACAATGGAAACGTAAAATATGTACCAATTAGTAATGAAAAGTTGTGCAGTTCCTTCAGTAAATGAAGCTCACCAACTTACAATAGGCTAAATTACCTTACAACGTGCTTTCAGTAGTCTATGTTGAAGTTCTTAGCACAGGCTAACTTATCATATCATATACGGTATCACAGTTCTCACTGATCTACAAAAAATACCGGTATTAAAAACCTTTTCGATATTTCACACTTAATATAATACCCGGTAATCTACTTCAACCTCCTATTGTTTACAACATCGCATGACGCATCACGCACCACCAGCTGTATCAGCTAGACGGTACACGTGTTTTTCGAATCGTTTTCAGTTAAAAAACTGTTACATCACACGTATATTTTACCTAAACTGCGCCTGAATGAATATATTCTCAGAAATAAATAGTGGTTTTGCTGAAACGTGATGTATTTTAATGTAAAATAGGATAAAATACATGACGAAAACAAAAGATTTTATCTAACCTTCCGATGTTCAAGAGAAGTTACTCATTTTTTTAATAGTTTTTGGTTAAAATATTGTTATATTACAATGGTATTCTATTCATACTGTGCTTGATATAATGCATTCACGGAAATGTAATATTTTTGCTGAAATGACGTACGTATTACAGTGGAAAGTGGGATAAAATCGTGACGAAAGCAATGACTTTCACTTTCTTTCGTTCAAAAGATGTTACCGTAATCGCTTTTCGAATAGTTTTCAGTTAAAAAACTGTTGTATTACGATAATATTCTATCCTAATTGACTTGAATAAATACTACTACGATACCATATTTCTGAATATCTTCATTAAAATCCATCAAAATCATTTTCCTTGTCATCGTCTGCAGCACCAAACAGCTTCTCCCAGTCCTCTCCTTGAACAGGGCTACAGGGTACGTGTTTTTCGAATCGTTTTCAGTTAAAAAACTATTACATCACACGTATATTTTACCTAAACTGCGCCTGAATGAATATATTCTCGGAAATAAATAGTAGGTTTGCTGAAACGTGATGTATTTCAATGTAAAATAGGATAAAATACATGACGAAAACAAAAGACTTTACCTAAGCTTCTGTTCTTGAGATGTTACTCGTTTTTTTAATAGTTTTCGGTTAAAATTCTGTTATATTGCAATGATATTCTATTCATACTGTGCTTGATATAATACATTCACGGAAATGTAATATTTTTGCTGAAATTACGTGCGTATTACAATGGAAAGTGGGATAAAATCATGACGAAAGCAATGACTTTCGCTTTCTTTCGTTCAAAAGATGTTACCGTAATCGCTTTTCGAATGGTTTAGTTAAAAAACTGTTGTATTACAATAATATTCCCTCCTAATTGACTTGAATAAATACTTGAATGGAAATATACAATATTTTTGTTGAAACTACCCGCGTTTCAGTGTAAAGTGTCGTAATAATAAATGGTAAACAATTTGCCTTCGGCACTCGTGTTTCAGGCACGGCGAGCCTCAGTTTATAGGACGTAGAGCGTTTTTAGTGAAGGTTTTGTTGTTCCATTACCCTCAAAAACGTGGGTCGAACTATAAACGAGGAATATCATAAATTAACTATTTCTTGGTCAAAAAATCAGGGTCGACCTATAAACGATGGGGGGTTATAGACGAGTATATATATATATATATATATATATATATATATATATATATATATATATATATATATATATATATATATATATATATATATATATATATATATATATATATATATATATATATATATATATATATATGCTGATAACCACAAGGAAAAAGAAAACACGAAGTTCCCAAGCGCTTTCGTGTAATTCACATCTTCAGGGGTGAGTACAGACTAAGGAGAAGTACAAAACAAGGTGTATATATACAGAGGAGGGTGAGATCAGGTCCACAATGGTCAGGTATTAGGTAATGACCCTACTAATCTTAATTACAAAATTGTCCAGTTTGTACATGCCATTACTCAAATTCATGTTGACTGCTTCGGTATGTTTAATGAGACTAGATTCTATAATGTTCCTACTGTCAATTGAATTACAAGGTAATATTGAGGAGGCATTATCCCAGTCAATGCAATGCTTATTATCCCTCAAATGAACAAACAGAGCATTGGATTCCTGGCCTGTCCTAACACTATATTTATGTTGTTTAAGTCTAGTTACAAGATCTTTACCTGTCTGGCCTAAGTAAAACATATTACATTCCATGCAAGGAACTTTTATCCCTTTATTCACCCCATACCAAAGTGAGAAAATAGAAGAGGTAACAGATAGATAGACAATACATAGTTAGCTGAACAGAAGTCTCATCTCATTTACTTAAACATTCCTTGTACAAATGTCAAATTATTAACCATAAATATTCAATAATTCTTACCTATCTCTGTAAGTCCCTCTTTGAACATGTCTGCAGTCTTGGCAACCTTGGTCTTGGCAGCAGCTTTAGCATACTGTAGTGCCTCTTTGAATGTTGCTTCTGCCCGCCTGTATTCACCCTGGTTCTGAAGTGACTGACCAACATATACCAGAGTCTGATAACGAGATGTTGGTAGTAATGAATTTTCTGGTTGGTTTTCTGCAACAGTTAACACCAAGCAGCCCTGAAAACATGTATGAGCTATTATTCTTTATAAATTTATATAACCTTTTTCTATGAAGTGAAGTCCTTTTCTGTTGTCTTATCAATATTACAGTAGAGTGGTCCCTCGGTTAACGAGCACATTCCGTTCTAGAAGGTTGCTCATTAACCGAAACCATTGTTTCAATGGGTTTTGGGTAATTGGTTCCAGCTCACCGAAAATTGCCTAAATTCAACAAAAAAGGTAGAAAAGTACACTTACTTTGAGGTGTGTATGTAGAAGGCTCTTGGATGATGATGATGATGGGAATGAGAATGGGGGTGGAGGAGAAGGGAGAAGAGAAAGCATTGGGGTGGAAGAGAAGTGCAAGCGAAAACATGTTGAGGTCGGCTCGTAAGAAACTCATTAATCAAGGGATTGCTCGTTTACCAAATTTAAGAATCTTATGGAAGGTAACTCGTTAACCGAGGAGCTCGTTAACCGAGGGACCACTGTATATCCCAAGTACAGTCATGCGCCGGTTAACGTCCTAGGTACGTTCTTGGAAACGTGACGTTAACCGAAATGGACGTTGTCCGATCATCACATAAACTTTTTATTTATACTTACGTGTATGTGGAATACTATATACGTACATATACACTTTTACTCTTAAATCATTACTGTAATGTGATACAGGTGATTAATTTTTATCTCTTGTGCAAAATACATGACGTTTATATTAAAATTATTCACTGTTTTACAAGGATTCCAGCAACGCCAGCAGATGGGGAAGAGAGAGGGTGGGAGCGAGCGAGGGGGCGTGGGGGGAGGGGAGGTAGTACGTTTGACAGTTGGCACAGGCCCAGGTCTAACGCGTCTATATTTATCAGTTCTTAGGTGACTAAGCTTCTCTCTTATAAAAAGCCAGTGATATGACCTGGGTGAATAGAATTAACATAGCTGGGATTCTTGTAACATGCTGATTAATTTGAATATAAACATGCTATAATTTGCACTAGACAAAACAATTTTAGTACCGTAATCAAATTAGTACATGTGCACTCCAGCTTTGCACTAAGAAATCTATGTAAATCTACCCAAAAATACAGTTGAAAAACTTTTTATAAAATGTACTACAGTATTGTACACTAATGTACTACATTTTTTATATCTTGAGCAAAATATATGATGTTTATATTCAAATTAATCTCTGTCTTGCAAGGATTTCAGCAATGCAAATTATATTATCCTAACTTTAGTCTGAGATATTATATAAAATAAACATAAAGAAATCATCAATCTTTTATCTTGAACACGAGGGTGGTGGGAAGGGGGCGGGAGGTGAGGTGACAGAATGTCTGGCATTTGTTTGTTTATTTATTTGAGATAAGATTTGACAGTTGGGGCTGAAGGCCTGCCTGCGTGTTTATTTATCATTACTTAAGAGTGACTAAGCTCTTCTCATAATTTTCCACCCAAACGACCTGGGTGAATATAACTTACATTGGAGGGATTCTTGTAAGATAGTAATTTATTTGAATGTTTTTTTTTTTTCAATTTAAATTTTAATTGTTTATTCCTTGATAGAGGAAGCGGGATCCTAGTGCTGTCACTTGGTACCCCTGTACCATAATACTGTAGTCCACAAAACATGTAGCTACCCGGTATGCTTTTTCTATTTGGTCCCCCGTCATACGAGTCCGTTTTCTCTCACATCAGGACGCCTAAGTCCTCCATTTTCTCTCTTAACCTTAGAGTGCACCAGAAACTTTACTATTTTTAGTAATGCCACAGAATTTGAAATTGCAACCCCAATTGCAACTTGCAATTGTTGAGGCAACTAGATATGTCTGATTACAGCAAATGTGTTATTGTCAATTTGTAGGAGAAAGATTTTATCCTCAATAGATGTAGGTTAACATTTCACCTGTAGGCAAATGCTTAGAAAAGCCTAAGTAAGGAAGCATATTCCTTTAACACAAAATATCTGACCAGTATGGGGAGGATCATCGTGTCTCCGTCAGAGGGTTGTGGAGTGGTGGTCCAGCAGGCATCACTTTTTTTCGGGGCACGGACGTATATGCGATCGGACGTTAACCCGTTAACCGGCGCATGACTGTACAACATACCCTTCAAATTCGCGGGGGTTAAGTTCTCAAAATGACTGTGAATCGACAAATTTGTGAATAACATTTGCTTACCAGGGTGGGGGAGGGATACATTTTTACTTGTGTGCAAAAAATGTATACAGTACAGTATTACCCCGCTTTACGCGTTTTTTTTTTACGCGTTTCCACGTTTACGCGGTACCCTGCCAGACCCGGAATGCTCACTTTACGCGGTGCATGCACTGTTTTACGCGGAGAGCGGCACGGGCAGGGTGCGCACAAGGTCGCCCAGTCATCAAAACATTACCGAGTTCTTCACCCGCCACCCACCACAGCCGGCCCAAGTCAGTGATAGTGATGGGGAGGATATGGACTTATATGGACTTTGAGGGGTTTGACAAAGAGGCCCTGCAAGCCTCTGGTGGATAGTGATACAAGTGATACAGATGAGGGCCAATAATCTGCCCTCTGCCTCGGAACCAACCCCCTATCCCCATGTGCCCAGCCAACTTTTCTACTAATGTAAGTGTTAAAAAACCTAATATTATTGATATTTCTCTTAATTATTAATTGTGTGTGCATACCATCATAAAATTAAGAAGTTATTTTTACTACAACATAGGTATTGTGTCTGAAAAAGTGGAGTTTGGGTGTCGGCCCAGTCTCTATTTCAATTAATCCCAATGTTCTGTTGTTCACTTTACACGTGCCTCCGTGGGTTCAATTGAACACGTAAAGCGAGGTTTCACTGTATTCCTTTTATGAGTTTGCCCTTAGGACAATTATTTCTTTTACTTGTATATAATGTGTGTGTGTGTGTATAGACACACACACACACACGACACATACAAGTAAATAATAATGGGAATATCCTCTCACAAATAATATAAAACAAATATATGTTAATAATGTTGAATCTACCTTCAAGTCCACTCTGTGCTTTGTAATTAATAAAGTACGGAGTAGACTTGAGGGTAGACTCAACATTTTTAATACCCGTATACAATTGCTTCTGATTATTTGTGAGAGTATTTTCCCATTGTTATTTATGCACACACGCACGCACGCACGCACGCACGCACACACACACACACAAAAAAAAATACAGGTAAAGGAAATTACTGTCTCTAGAACGAATGGCTCCCTGTCCCGGCCGTGAATATGCCGGCAACTTTAAAACTACCCACAGGCATTCTTGGGTACATCCAGGGTGTCATCCACGATTAATAAAGGAACACAAAATCAAAACCCGTGAATCATCCAGGAGTACTGTACAGTGATCCCTCGGTTAACGAATTACCTTCCATAAGATTCTTAACTTTGGTTAACGAGCATTCCCTCGATTAACGAATTCCTTACGAGCGCCCCTCCACATGTTTTCGCTGTCATATTAGCCCACCAATACAGTAATCGGTTCTAGGGCTTAAATTCCTTACTATTTTAGTAAATATCAAGAAGTTTGTACTATTCAATAATTTTAAAAGTCTTATATTAAATTTTTTGGTCATTTGAACAATTATTTAACATAATTTAAGTACAGGGAAACTAGTTTTTAGCGCGCCAAACAGCCTGTCAACACACCATACAAGCGTCAGTCTCTGTGTCTTTTCAGTGGAGGTAACATCTTGCTTCAGACTCTCTTCAACATAAATACTTTTTTTCTGTATCCAAGCAAATTATTGGTCATTTTGAAATTAATTTTACATATTGACAATATATAATGTAGTGCAGTGTTGATTTAAAGAAAATAATCTTTAATTATACCAAGTGAACTAAAATTTTATGGGTGAAATGGAGCCATGGGGTGACTTCTCTTCCACCCCAATGCCTTCTCTTTTCCCTTCTCCTCCACCCCCATTCTAATTCCCATCATCATCACCATCATCCAGGAGCCTTCTACATACACTCCTCAAAGTAAGTGTACTTTTCTACCTTTTTTGTTGACTTTAAGCAATTTTCAGTGAGCTGGAACCAATTACCCAACAACCCATTGAAACAATGGTTTCGGTTAACGAGCAACCTTCTAGAACGAATTGTGCTCGTTAACCGAGGGACCACTGTACTGATTTAACACCAAAAACAGAAATAGAAACACTTTCTCCTCCACCATCAGCTACAAAAAGTAATCTTTGTATTATAATAATGGACCTTTAAAGGTTAGGTCAGGTTTTCAAAGGTTTGTTTAGTGTTTATATTACTGTACAGTATATGTTTTAACCCCACATTTTCCCTCATCTTAAAAGCCCTGCCCACTTTGGAAAAAAACACAGTCGTTGTTAATGTAAATTGTCATATCTACATAAATATCCATCTCACACAGAAATAATGGCCATATTCATTTATAAGAGGAAAAAACACTGAAGAAAAACATATTTTAGTAATAATTTTCCAGTTGTGACATAAAATGAATCACCAACTGAAGGCCTTTGGACTAACAACCCTACAGACAAAGCACGGTAAAGGTGGAGGAGACTGTTATCACCAGAATGAACGCATGGAATTGCACCACAATCTCTGGAGATGTTATCTGTAAGATACTAAATATGAAAATGGAAACAATGCATAGAACCTAAAAGAACCCTGACCTAACCTACCTCATGAAACCTAACCCTATCTAACTTCCTTACCAGGGTTTCGACCCCCCGTCATATAAAATTGTTTAACCACCTTATTATCTTGGTAGACCCCTGGAACAGCAAAAGAAAATACCTTAACATTAAGGTGGGTAGAGTGCAATTATGGTATCCAACTGTTACACTTAAACAATTATTTTTCCATTAATGTCAGTTCCCTGCTGCAATTTGACACTTGTGCATCCTTCCAATAAGTCCATGATCATACATTAAGTCCTTAACAAGCACAAATAACAAATGATAACTAATGGAAAAATGATGCCATAATTCCATAAGATGCTAAGTGTCCCCTTCAGAAAGAACAATAAGATTAGCAAACAGGAAAGTGAAGCTGATTAAATTGAAAACAAAAGATAATCAAGCCAATACACTACAGGTATTTACAGTGTACAGTTAACCCTCACTTTACGCGGTCCCGCATTCCGCGTTTCCACGTTAACGCGGTGCCTTGCCAGAACCTCACGTGCTCAAATTACGCGGTACGTGAACCCCATTACGCGGAGAGTGTCCGGCGCAACGCTATTTTTAGATTCGCCCCACCCGCCACCCGCCCGCCTGTGCCCCTCGCCTCTCCCTCCTCCTCCCTCCGCTTGGGCAAGCGGCGCGGTAAGGTTGTGCAGTGTGTGTCTTTGTTGCGTTATCACTGACGTCATATGACGTATCAGACCTGTGATTGGCCATGCATCCCTACCCCCCTCTGCTCCTAGCTGTAATTGGCTTAAAGTATTATGACGTGTCCACCCGGGGGAGGGAGGGAGGGAGGGAGGGAGGGAGGGAGGAAAGACGACGCCTGACCTAGCCGCGGCAGTTTCATCCCTCAAGGCCACACCGTGTAAACGTGCATCCATTGTTCCGTAAAATGGCTTCCGCCGGACCACCACCCCCAGAGAGAAACCTTTCCTTACCTGGACCCAGCTACGAGGTGAAGTATACCATCATCCAAGAGTTGGAGAAAGGAACAAGGCAGGTTGATTTGGCGCGCCAGCATGGTGTGAATGAATCTGCGATTCGAACAATAAAGAAGGATGCAGCCAAGATAAAGGAGCATATGAAGATCACAAAGTCTACAGGTGCTTCTATGATCAAGTATTTTCACAACCAGGTGCTTCTCAAGACAGAAAAATTACTTGTGAGGTACTTGGTGCGTCAGGCGCGACGGAACATGGCGGTCGACACGCGCTCTGTTAAGGACTACGCACGTGAACTGTACATCGCAGTGGCACGAAAGATGGGAATTACAGAGCCCAAACCCTTTAATGCTTCCTCTGGGTGGTTACAGAGGTTTAAGATCTGGAACAAGATCACCAATATAAACATTGGTGGTGAAGAAGCGAGTGCTGATCGTGCTGCGGCTCGGGAATTTCCTCCGTTTTTACGTGAGATTATGGAGGAAGGACAGTACGGTGACGACCAGGTGTTTGACATGGACGAATCTGGTCTTTTCTGGAAAAAGCTACCTTCCAAGTCCTTCGTTGTAAAGAATGCCAGCAGGATTCGGGGCCGGAAGATGCAGAAGGAACGCATCACCGTCCTGTTTACCACCAATGCCTCCGGTACCTGTAAGCTCAAGTTATCGGTGATCCACACAGCACGCAAGCCGCACGCCTACAAAACCATGGACATGACCAAGCTAAATGTCCACTGGCTGACCGCACGTAAGGCGTGGATGTTCTCTACACTGTCCCTCTCCTGGTTTGATGACTGTTTTGTTCCCGATGTTAATCTGTAATGTAAAAGCTGCATTCTCAACAAAAAAATTCCAGCTCCTGAACGACTACACCAACACCAGGGAAGAGTTGCGTAACCTGAGTGACATCACCACCGATAGCAAGAGCGAAGAAGATGAGGATCAACAGTTGGAACAGCAAAAAATACTGTTCAAACAATTCTGGAGAGTATTTAACATCAAGAAAGCTGTGGACATCTTGGTGGAGTCATGGGATCAGCTGTCTATTGCTACAATTCGTCACGCATGGAGACATGTGTTGCATGGAATACCAGGTGAGAGGAGGAGTCAATCTGTGACTGGTGAGGTTCAGAATGTTGCAGTAGCAGTGGACCTTGCCAGAGAAGCTGCGCAGACTGTTACAGTTCCAGGCTTCTCCGAGACCACCAACGACGACATCCTGGAGGTGATCAGAGATCCTGAAGTGACTGCCGACGAGATGTTGGAAGAAGAACACGTCAGTGAAGAGGAGGAAGAAGGCGAGTCATTCTCCGAAGAACACAGTTTAAGTCATAGTGATATTAAGGGTGCCATGGAGTGTGCAGAGAAAATGAAGTCCTTCCTTTCCCGCGACAATGACGATGACCGCTATGAAGTCTTCCATACCCGGCTGGTGCAGGCTATGGAGCCATACATCAAGGTGTATCACTACAACATCAACGCCAGCCGTCAGCAAAGCATAACAGATTTCTTCGCCCGCAACCCACCACAGCCAGCCCAAGCCAGTGATAGTGGCAGTGAAGATGACTTTGAGGGATTTGTCAGGGAAGCCCTGACAACTGTAAGTGACAGTGATGGTGATTCACCTAGTAATGGTGATTCACCTGAGGGCCAGTAATCTGCCCTCTGCCTCGGAACCAGCCTCCATCCCCGTATGCCGACCCATCTCTTCTACTACCGTAAGTGTTCCACCTAAGTTTTAGTTTTCTTATCTAACCTTTATTTTTCCTATGTTAACCTTTATTTTTCCTAACCTAACCTCTTCTATATTACTTGTTTTTTCATACCATCATAAAGTTAAGATAAAATTTTTACTACAACATAGTTGTGTCGTCAAAAAGTGGAGTTTGGGGATCGGCGCGGACTCCATTTCAATTAATCCCATATGTTATGTTATTCACTTTACGCGTTTCTCACTTTCCGCGGTACCCTCCGGGTTACATTAACCGCGTAAAGTGAGGGTTAACTGTATATTAAAACCCCAATGAGATCCTCCAGCACTTCCAGCTTTCCATTTACTTGTTGATAAATCCTGATTCACTGATTTAAAGCTTAGAATGGATGAGAACAATGAACACCACCGGAGAATGAACGAGGGAATAATTACGGTAAACAAATTATTTCTTCACATACATAACACAAATGTTAAATTATTGCCATGTGATCTTTTTTTCACTGAATTTTTACCCTGTAATTTCCCTAATCTTTCATGCCCTGCCCACTGCAGCCGATTTATAATCAAAGGTAAAGAAATACAAAAAATAAAAGTTGTTGCATTATACTTTATGGTTAGCATTGATGACTTTTCTATCACAGCCTAATTTATTTTGATGGATCTTTTCTTACTATTGTATATTTTCATCGCTGAATTCGGATGATATTAATTTTTTGAGCAAATGCCTCATTTGGTACATAATTAGGCACCGAGTCTCATACTAGTGGCAAAATTTCATCTTTCGTGGAGATAGAACGGCTTAAATTTGTCCTCCACTCGGTGTTTTGTTTACGAAGAACTCGGTCCGAGAGGTATCTCTCACGTCCATGAGGAATGTAAAATTGCACCATATCCTCGTAAGGACAAGTAGTTTTCATTGGTTAAGTTGATGCGGTTTTCTATCAACACTTCCGCCACTTGTGTTTGTCATGAACTAAGGTTAGGTTAGGTTTGAATTAGAAATAAGTAGTGGATATTTTGCCGTTACCGGCCAATTTCCTGCTAACACTATTTTACCGTTAGTGCCCTCTGATTGGCTAAGGACTTTCTGTTTAATATGACAGAGGTCCAACCCCCCAGCCTAAGAAGTTCAGGTAATGTTGGGCTGGTTTCTTTGGTTGGTTAGGTCAGGTTCTATTAGGCTCCAATAAATGTCATCTTTTTTATGATGATAAAAACTTGTGGAAAAATGAACAAAATCGAATCACTTGGTTAGGCATGACTCCTGTTAGGCATGACTCCCGTTAGGCATGACTCCTGTTAGGCATGTTAGGCATGACTCCTGTTAGGCATGACTCCTGTTAGGCATGACTCCTGTTAGGCATGACTCCTGTTGGGCATGACTCCTGTTAGCATGGCTCCTGTTAGGCATGACTCAGGCATGGCTCTGCTGACTCTATGTTGGACATGACTGTTAGGCATCCAGTTAAACATGACTCCTGTTTAGGCATGTTAAACATGGCTCAGTTAGGCATGACTCCTCCTGGTTAGGCATGACTCCTGGTTAACATGACTCCTGGTTAGGCATGACTCCTGGTTAGGCATGACTCCTGTTAGGCATGACTCCTGTTAGGCATGACTCCTGTTAGGCATGACTCCTATTAGGCATGACTCCTATTAGGCATGACTCCTGTTAGGCATGTTTTTAGCCACACAACGATCAACTCACAGTAAAATAAATGCCAAATGTTACCAGAGTCACGGTCAAATATAGTTGTCACGTTATTCTTCAGTAATGAATGATTAGCCAATCAGAGCCCACTCACAGTAAAATAGCATTAGAAGTAACTTAAGCCAGTCCTGGCAAAATAACCTAATTTTAACACATCTGCCCAAACTACAACAGTGTTCATTGCAAAACAGCGAAATTGCAGCATTTTTAAATTAATTTTTTATGAAAAATCGGCGATGGGCAAGTTGTCAATAATCAGCTTCAGTAATTATTCAGGACTAACCCGCAGCCGAAATTGATCGAAAACAATTATACAAAAAACCGGATTTTCAATATTTTTTTTTATATTGGACACTGTTGTAGTTTGTGCAAATGTGTTAAAAAATGCATATTTTTTAAATTAACGCAACTTAACATTTGTGGGTATGAAAACAGACCTAACCAACCTAACCAAACAAAGCTATTTAAATCCTGAAGTTGATAGAAAAATATGAACCAAGAATATTTCTTTGTGATGTCATGCACCACCAACATGAGAGGACAACTACAAGCCTGCTAAGTTAACATGCACTATAAATGTAAGGAAATAATTTAATGGTCTACCAGTCCAAGCTGTGCAATCAAGAAGAGTAGTGGGATTAAACATAGCCCTTGACTACATTATCCAAAGACCAATGGAGACGGAGGGATCATACACAGGCCACTAGCCACCTCCCTTGGCATGGCCACTTTGGTAGGTGTAAACAAGGTAAGATAAATTAAATACTAGTGCCGAGTGCTGTGACAGTCCAATTAGTGGGTGAATTTAATATAATTAGCCCTTGTATAAATCTCAAGCTCAAGCACATTACAATAAGTACTGTTGACAACTGGTGAAGATTGAATGTCAGTCCTGCTCCTGTCTTCACATGCTACGTCAAGATACACTAACTTTCCTCTTTCAGATATCTTCTTACCAAGGCAATAAGATTAGAATGCAGTCCATTGTCATGCAGGAGCTTTATTTGCTCAAAAAGACACATTTTAATTCACTTGGGAGATCTTGTTATCCTTCCCACGGAATTTTGAGTTTGTTATGGTGTTTCCTTCACACCCAGTAAGGAGCGTGTACTGTATAAAACTTTATCAAACTAATATTTATCTTAGGTAAAAAGGGTTTTACTCATTACACCAGAATACTTATCTTTTTCAAGCTCCTAATGTTTGAAAATATATTTTATAATAAATCTTTTGAAGTCGTGTGCATTAATATTACTCATTTTACACATGTTCCATTGTGTAAAATACGTAATCAGTAATTCCATCTTTCTAAATTTATCAAATTATATTTACTTTATTATTTTAATCTTACAAAATATTGGTAAGCATCATATCTTAAATGAAAAAAATAATATTTTATACACAGTATCAGGAGGATGTTGCCAGCCGTAGGGAATTACCCTATTCTAGGGTAATTCAGCTTCATTTCCGGGGTCAAGAGGCCTACAACCACAAAATCATTGCCATATGACAAAGCTTTTATTTAATTTTTTTACAGAATTGTGGTCACGGCTGTGATAAAGGCCAACCAGGGAGTGTAGTACTGTGCCTTTAGTTAAATCAGTTCATAGTGTCATCAGTGACCGCGGGAGGGGTTGTAAATTACTTAAAGTGAAGACAAACTGGCAAGTAAGCTGGAAAGGCACTACTGCACTAGCGTAGCTAGGGGGGGGGGGGCGGGGGGGGCGGTCCGCCCCGGGCGGCACTTTTGGGGGGCGGCACTTTTGGGTCTGCTCATCACCCATATCTGCAGCTACTGGAGATGTTAATCCATCCCTTTGTATCGGCGTCGACCCAAAAAGAAGAAACATATGTTTGGTGAAGGATCACGAGATGCTGAATTGCCATACGACATTGAATTGAGGAGAGAAATGTTTTCTTCGCTGGACAGAGTGATCCAAGAAATAACTTTGAGATTTCAACAGCTTCATGAACTTGCTGAGAAATATGCCTTCCTTACCCCATTGAATCTTTTGGATGATAAATATGAGTGTCAAATAGATCACGATCACGACGACATTGATAAAGAGGAGTTCCTCGTTGAGAGAAAAAGACTTCAGCATTTTGTTGCTGTTGCTGCTATAACTATTAAAGACAGAATACAGACGTGGAAAGAAGGCCCCCCTTGAACTTTTGCAGTTTATTCAAAAGTATAACCTTGGGAACTCGGTTCCAAATATAGTAATAATGCTGAGGATTTTCCTCACAATTGCTGTTAGTGTTGCTACCTGTGAGAGGAGTTTTCGAAACTAAAACTGATCAAGAATTACTTAAGATCTACTATGAGCACCTTGCGGTTGAGAAATCTTGCCATACTGTCTATAGAGCGACAATTGACAGATGAAATAGTTTTTGACAATGTCATTGAAGAATTTGCCAACAAAAAAACAAGAAAAGTTACTTTGTAGAAAGTTGTAGTTTTCATTTCAGAAATAAAGATGGTCCTAATTTTTTACACTTTTTTACTTTTTTCCCTATCCTATATGTCGTTTTTGCTTTTTGTTTAACTGTTACTTATAAAGTTTAAGTATGTTTGGGGTGTATTTAAAGCATACTATATTTGAGTATGTGAAAGTACAGTAATATTATAATGGTACACAAACTATTTAATATATATACTGTATATATATATATAAGAGTGAGTCACTGTGCAATATGTATTTTTTGTGGGGGCACGGATGGGGGGTGGGGCGGCAAACTCAAGGGCCGCCCCGGGCGGCACACACTCTAGCTACGCCACTGTATATATATATATATATATATATATATATATATATATATATATATATATATATATATATATATATATATATATATATATATATATATATATATATATATAAAATCAACACCTCACCCCGCCAGGATTTGAACCCACGGCCCACGAGCCCATGACAGTTGTAGTGGACGTCTCCCCTACAAACTGCGTAGCAGTCACCACCTGCTATCACATTCCAACGTGCCGTTGCCTAGCAACGAAACTATTCACCGGCGACTTCTCGGGTTTTCCCAACATGACTCATAGCGGCTGCTGGGTATATAAGCTCTGTCTCTCCATTGAGATTGATTCTGACCATTCTTCTTGAACAAGCAACACCTCCTCCTCCGCCGCTGCCTGGCTGCCTTAGCTCCTCCTCGCCTGCCTGGCGGTCCTCGCTCCCGCCAGCGAGCATGGCGACCCACCAGCTGTCCTCTGAGCTTCCTCACCAACCAACTCTCATTCTGCCCATTTTCCTGAACAAGCAACATCTCCTCCAGCAAGCTCCACGCTGTTAACATTTCATTCAACCAGGAGGCCAGCAACAGGCAACATCTTCTCTAACGAAGCTCCTGCACATCTACCTCCTTCAACACGCTACTCACCAAACGTCTTCTACTGAGCAGCTCCCCACCACACGGCACCTCCAGCACCAGACTGTCTATCATATAACTTATATATTATACAAGAAAACCACATTAGAGTTTCCTTCCATCCTGAGTGCTAGACAACATTAATATCTCGATACCCCTACAACCCCCTTACATCCTGTGCAAGGTGAAGCAGAAGCGTTTACAGCGCCCAACAGGGAAGTATGAAAAGTTCATACTTGCCTTTATGACTCGTACATTAAGGGCGTAAAAGCCTGAAGGGTCATAGGTTCTGTCAAGTTACATAAAGTGAGAGAATGATGAGTGTGTGGGGGGGAAAGTTCCCGGTACATTTTATCTGTTTATGGCAAAGAGTGGCAGGTCCCTAATAATGTCAAATGCCAGGCCTGTGACTAGGAGGAGGGATATCTGGTCTGGGAGGGAAGAGGTGTTGGTAACGGCTGGGGACCTGTAGGAGGAGGTCATAGGGCAAGTGAGGATGTAGTGAGAGAGGGTGTGAGAGTCGGGTTGGCCACAAAGTTTACAAACAGTGCGGTGAGGCTCAGGGTTGCCAATGTACTCCCATAGGTACCTGTACCCTAGGCGCAGTCTCATGTATATAAGCTGTTGAGATCGAGTCAGGGATTGATATTCTTTGTAGTGGCGGTTGTCGTCACCGGTTACAGCGTCATAGTGGCATAGTGTGACGCTACCTCGTTGTTTCAGGTGTGTCCAATTTTCGTTGAATGCCTCTCGTTGTGTGGCGTGTATGCGAGATTTGAGATGATTCAGGGAGAGGGCGAGAGTGGCTTCAGTATCTTCTTCTTGTGTAGCTTCTTTGGCAAGCCGATCAACAGTGTCACAGGCAGTTATTCCTATATGTGACGGAGTGTACACAGTGATAGCACAAAGAGATATAGTCGTTGATGAGAACAGGAGAAGAAAGAGCTGTACGTATAAGGAAATACAAGTTAAAATAAAAAAAAATAATAAAATTAACAAGCTTGGCTATCCTTAAAGGCATTCTATTATCGCCCCAAAGAAAATTTTATTTTATTTTTCTGTGTTTCTGAAGGACTGAGTGGGTGTATAAAAAATGTTATTCACAGCAAAATTCAGTGTACATAGGGATAGGGCATAAATACTGACAAACCGCCGAAGAGAACTGAAAAAATAAAAAGACGAGAAGAAAAACAGAAGACTACAACTCTAAAGGCAACAGGGGAGGTTAAATCCAGGAGAGGGCAGCTAAGTACTGTTTTTTTTTTAATAGGTATAGATCTATACACAGTCTGCACCCCCACAACAACAACAACAAATAAACTACAGAGGGATATAATGATACAAAAAAGACTGTGACCATTGGTGGGCGATAACGGATATGGAGGATACAGGCCCGACTAATGCAACGTTTAGGAAGTTACTAACTGCCGTAAAGCATGATGGCTGTTGCTGGTATTGCTCTGGCTGCATAGTCAAGGTGAATGAAGCGATTGCAAGCCATAAGGGAACGAGTTCTCTAGGGACGAAAATAGATGAAGCTGGAGCCCTGCTGGTTGACAAACTGGAGCAAGTTGGGAAAGAGATCCTTGCCAAGACTGAGGAAGTAGCTGATAGAATGGAGGTGGTTGCTAAGAGGAGTTATGCTGACGTATTAGGAGGGCCACGGGAGGGGGCGGAGAGTAATGCAGGATCAGAACAGGTTCTACAACAGCTTGGGACTCTGAAGAAGTGTGTCGAAGAAATGAAAATTAACGGACCTACTGTTAGGGGAGAGGAGGAACACCAGGAACGGCTCCAGCGCAGGAACAATGTAATAGTTTTTGGAGTCCCAGAGAGCCAGGCGGAGGGAACTGTGAGTAAGGAAACACACGATAAGGTGCTGTTTCAAAATATTTGCACAGAGGTTCTGAAGATTCCATCAACCCCTCAGGATGTGAGGAGGCTGGGACAAAAGCAGGGGGCTAAGCCTCGCCCCCTCAGGATCACACTAGTGAGTGAGGAGGAGAAATGGCAGGTTATTCGGCAGGCAAAAAACTTAGCAAGGAGCGAGGCATTTCGGGATGTACTCATTCACCCAGACCGCACGGTAATGCAGAGGGAACAGCACAAGAAGCTCCTGCAGGACTTGAAGCAGAAGAGGGAGGAGTCGAGGAGGAACGGGGACGGGTGTACATGGGTTATACTCAGGGGGAGGGTAGTGGAAACAAGTGTGCCGACACAGGGCCAGGGGGCAGCAGTGCACCCTCCACCCACTCAACCCCCCACCCGGGAGGCGGCACCAGCTCAGCCTTCCGGACAGGAGGGAACGAGCGCCGTGTAAACAATGACATTTCTAACCACACCCTGCAAAATACAGTGTACTTAGCAAATGCTGCAGCTTCTGAGAATGTGGGTGGAGCGGGTTTATTACTAAGAGCAGAGACGTTACCGAGAACAAATTCTGGCTTGAATGTCATGTACACTAATACTGACACGTTCCTTGATAAGAGAGAGGAGTTTGAAACACTACTAAGAGTACACCAACCAGATATTGTAGGTGTTGTAGAACTGTTGTACAAGAACAGGAGAATCGACCCAGAGGAATGTGAGTTCAGTATTGCTGGATATGACTCCTTTACGAACCTTTCTCAAGAAACTTGCAAGAGGGGTGTGGTTATCTATGCTAGTGTAGCGTACTGTATGTGGCCAGTTGTCAATTCTCTTTAGTTGT